CCGCTACAAACGCCTTCTGCGCACATAAGATTGGGCTAGAGAGGCGTATGGCGACTGCCCCTGCCGTCGCAAGTATCCGCCGACGCACTAACTTGGAATTTTTTACCGGCACTTTATAGATGACTCTAAACAGTTGACTTATGTCTACACAATGACCGTTGTCAACCCAGTGGGCCAAATCGCGCTTGATATTGACTTTGTCTGGCTTCTGTTTAGTCAAGCAAGATGGTGTTCTCGCAAGCACTTTGATAGCCGCCTAGTCGTTCAACCAATATAACCTGCCCCACAGGAGCATGCAAAGTTGTTGATACACATCGAAGAGGTCTGGAATGGGAGCCTATCCTTACCTTCAAGGCGAAGAAGTGGACTTCTTGAAAATACTAGTGCTAACTTAGCTGCTGGATAGGTACGTGCGATTGCAGCGTTCAAGCGAAGCTGTGGAAGTTCGTTTGCTGGATCCCCTTGAAAAGGCAATATAAGAAATAAGGTTTTCTTCTCAGCCGTCTGCACTTCCGATGTTGATGGACGTTCCTCCATAAATTTATTGATGAACTTTTCGAGAAAGCCATTTTCTTGTAGGGTCTTCTTAATGAGTGTGAGTTCTTCCTCCAATGTCTCTGACGAACATATTGTCCTTGCTCAGTTCGTGAGGCAGCGGACTAGGCGGACTAACAGAAATAAGGGCAAGGGTTCCCTTGGTAGCGCATGAGTGTTCTTATTTATATTTACATGCCTACTCAATGAATTTCTGTTAGGGTTAGGGTAAGGGTTAGGGTGGGATAGTGATATCGTATGTGAAAAGCTCCAAGTTTCTGTCATGCGTGAAGCGTGAGAGTAGGCATATAAATCTAAATAAGAACATTCGTGCGCTACCAAGGAAACCCCTGCCGAAATACGTAATAGCTGGTTAATTTGCCATTGGTTAATCCGCCCATTTAACCCGACCTAGTGCTAACTAACGCGAATTTAAATCTTTGACGTCGTCTGAAATCTGAAAATGTTGCTGAATTACCAAAATGTATAGATGATTTTTATTTTAACAATATTTTGTAATCTTTTCATAAGGCAAATCAATCCTGCACAAATAATGCCAAAATAAGCCGGTCAAAAGTAGAGCAGAATTTATAGTTAAGGGTTATTTTCATCTTTCAGAGATGTTATGGACAGCTCCAGAGCTGCTCCGAGACCTCACAGAGGTCCACATGGGGACACCGAAAGGTGACGTGTACTCATTTGCGATCATAATGCAGGAGATCATTTGCCGTTGTGCGCCCTTTCCGGGATGCGAGCTGTCAGCAGCGGAAATGGTTGCAAAAGTACGCTCAGCCCCACCAATCTTTCGGCCGAATGTACGTACATTTTCTAGCACTTCCTTGACTCTTGTGCATTTGCATAAAAGTTTCTTTCTAGAAGTGGAACACGGAGGAATCGGGTCGGAGGAAAACTCCCAGTCTAATTCGTTCACGCCTTTATCATATGTGCTTTCATAAAAGGGCTTAATGTTTTATAGGTAGAGGCATACTAGATGACATAAACTGGGGACGGTAATAGGTCACTGATACTGTCTTATCAATTGTGTCATAAAGCGTACTTACACTGATGTCGTCTATTATCTACAGACCAAGCATATTATTTCGGAATTAACTTGGCCAGAACTAGAGGAAGTAAATTAATAAGCCATAGTAACAAATATTTTAAATGATTTGAGGATCTAAAAGTTACTAATGTGCACTACTAAAATAGCCCAATTAACAAACGTACAACGTAATGTCACTAGAATAGAACCGCAGAATATATCAAATGGAGACAATTTTTGGGTCAAGAGTACAAATTACTTAGAACGCTCCTTGAACGCTCCTCAAGAAGTCAAGTCTGGCAAGTCTATTATTCATCATCAGGATGGTGGAGCAACAAAAGTTTAAGCATCCAATAAATAGTAAGCGTGGGGACAGGGCTGGGGATGTTCAGAGATCAAATGGTTAGAAGGGGCCGACAACTAGTTCGTGCTTCTGCGTCGTCGTTGTAACGTGACGTGATAGGAGGTTAAACACACACGCTAAGTTCGCGATCAGCCAGGAGAGCCTTGGTGCTTGTATAAACGCCTTCTGCGCACACACAGTTCGGTTAGTTAGCCGTATGACTACTGTCTCTGCCATCGCAAGTATCCGCTGACGTGGGAACTCGTCGGCACTTTACTGATTTTTGCGAAAATACCATTGAAAAATTCAGAAGATGAATTGGCGAACATACGTTTGTTTTCGATAATTCTTATCAGGCCTTTACCTTTATATGGTACTTAAGTAAATTATATATGCGGGTTGGTAGAAAACATAGTACGGTTGTCAGGGGAGGGGGAAAGGGGGGGAATCGGGGTCAAAATCTCCTCAGCGTTAGGTGGGGACTGGTAGTCGGCCGAGGTGATAAGCTGCTGTTGGCTACGGCAGAAGCGGCCGCCATCAGGCTACTCCGACCGATCATGT